AAGTCTATTGGACCCATTGCTACCCCGGATGTCATCCTGTGTGTTCCGGGATTACCCAAGACTAGGTCGGGTAAAATAATGCGGAGAATTTTAAGAAAGGTAGGGGGGAGTAGGAGCTTCTGGCTGGTACGGGGTTGCATCCAATTCAGGTGGCCAACAGGATCTATAACGATATGGGAGATACGTCGACTTTGGCAGAACCAGAAGTTGTCGAGGCCATTGTTATGAGAGCGAGGGCTCATCATGGCGAGGATATGAGGAAGGGAACTTTCTCAACGCACTTACAATGATTATCATAATTTCACTATTATTTCTCTATTATTTTATGAGCCTGCTCGCTGTGCGCGGAAGACTCTGACCGTTGGAAGCTGAGCTCAACGGTCGTATTCAGCTTGCTAGTCTTCTCTCGATTATCTGAAAACTTGATAGTAGAGTTGTGTTACTCTTGGTGAACTGTTAGGCGGGTAGAGTTCTCTGTATATTTCTGTAAGTGAGTTATCCGCAGCATCGCATAAGTCGTGGCCTATTTCTCAACGACACCAACTTTTTTGTTTACGAATAGAATGAAATATGCAACTAAATGATTGCAATTAGTATGTGGCAGTTTTATTAGGATACTCACTCGATTGGAAGCATCTACAGGCCTATCATTCTTCGCAGTCGGGTAACCGCAGTCACGCGTAGCGACATACTCGTAACTTCATATGGTAGAGCTGTGGCCACTTACATTACGTTCCTGCCCAGTTATCGGAGTTACGTAGAGCTGTGGCATCAAATGCGAGCCGGATGCAATTATTGCCCTATCTGGAGTTTGTGTAATCATCTGGCCCTCTGGTCCGAATCAACATGATGGATATCGGACCGTCCGATATCCATCATGTTGACAGACAGGAGTCATCTCCGGTCATACGGCTTCGACTCGATAGTTCTCTCGGTCGATATTGCGACGTTGCGTCCTCAGCATGTTGGGAATGTATGAACGTCTGAGCGGCTCTACCTCTGTCTTCAAATCCCATCTCGCCG